AAATATTCGTGACACCTATACAGGCTGTTTTATATTTATTTTAACACTCTTCATCTCATATTGGATAAGCCCATATTAATCTTGTAAAAGATCGGCTAATAGTAATGCTGATTATTATAGACCTATAAGTCTATTGATGCTACATTTATGCTCAACACTTCGTCTAATTTTGGATAATCCAATATAGAATACAAATCACTTTTTATTTTAATTGGCTAATAGTAATACTTTAATTGCAACAGTGGAGTGCGACAGGGCTGCACCCTCTCACCGTTACTGTTTATCACAGTCCTAGACGTCGTTCTAGAAGCTGTAGAAGAAAGCCCAATCGGCATTGGTTGGAAGCTGAATCAAAAGCTTGATCATCTTGAATATGCAGACGATGTAGTATTGTTAACAAACAGACACACTGATATACAAACTCTTGTTAATAACGTATGTGAGCAGTCATATAAAGTCGGTCTAAAAATTAACGCATCAAAGACAAAAACAATGAGAACGAAAGCAAATAATCATTCGCCCATCCTTCTGTACGATCAAAACATTGAAGACGTGCAGGAACTCGAATACCTGAGGAGTATAGAATGGAACCCGCAAGGAGTAAGTAGACGAGGTCGTCCCAAAACTACCTGGCGAAAAACAGTGGCAGCAGAAAAAAGCAAATCCTTTAACCAGTTACGTTTTACTGCCAGAAACAGAGATTAATGGAAGAAGTTTATAAATATTATTTGTGAATAGACTAAGTTCTAATTTTTAAATTTTTAATTTAATTTTTATAATGAAGAACATGTCTTAATAATAATAATAATAGTAATGCTGATTATAATAAACCTATAAGTCTATTGCTGCTATAGTTATGCTACTAAGATATTCGTAAAACTCATAATGGCTATTCAATAACATTCTCAAAAATTAAACTTATCTTGGATAAGCCAATTTAGAATACATATCATTTCCTATTGTAGTTGACAAATATTATAGATTATTTTTTTATTGCATTGATAGCCCTAAGAGAAAACAGGATCTTTCAAAAAACACAAAGGTTTGATCAAAAAATAAGCTTTAAAAAGATTTAAATATGGATCGGTCTTAGGAATGGAGCTGACTTAATAAAATATGTTTAATCTACAAAAATGTTTTATTTGTTATCACGAGGATGCAAATGTGTGACTTATGACAGATCTAACCTCATCTAAACTTATAAAACTTGCGAGTTTTTGCTACTTTAGTCTTTCTTTGTCTCATGGCACTTCCCCCTGCGGGTAATGGATTACAATATTCGCGAGCTAGGCATACCTATGCCCAGCTCGCAGTGGCGCTATGCCGACACTGTTTTAAAGTGTGCATGATAGTAAGTAACACGGCACTTGCTACACCCGACCGGAGATGTAAATCTGATATTACGAGGGTGAGATGTCCGCAGCTTCGGTTGTCCTAGCCAAGTGATGATTGCCAGCCCTGTAGTGGCTATAGTTGATATTCAAATTAACGCATGTTGAATGATTTGTATTTGTTTATCACTCATTCGGCGTGAAGTTGCGTATTCATCACCGGATGCTGAGACCCAAAGATCAGCAGAGGTATTGAGAGACCTCGCTCCTTACCAAGGAGGAAGTTATATTCAAACATAACTTTATTTGGAACCGGCGGAAATTCATTAGAGTTTCCAATGGGGTGTTTATCGGCGAATTATCTTGATACATGTGTTTGTAGAGCACTGTGGTCTTAAGCCTTCATGGCAGGTGTTACATTGTTGTTACACTGTTGTCTCATGGCACTCCTTCCCAACCTTTTTAACTTTAATTAATATGGTAAAATAAAGAAGAATTATTAAAATCCTTGACCAATTAAACTCAAAGAAATACACTTATAGAAAATGTTATTAATATATCAGTTCACAATCTAGATATATATGTATCTGTAAGCTAGTTGTTATTATATCTCAAAAAAGCTAAAAACAAAAAATATTTAGCTGTAACTATAATTCTCTTAACTTTAACAATAAAAGAAAGATAATTGAAAACTAGCAAAACAAACAATAATTATATTTCACAATTTTAAAATTGAATTTAGTCACGTAGATTAAAATTACACTTTATTTATTGTAGTTAGTGTATACAATGAAAGTGATAAAAATATCTAAAAATCGGAAAAGATAAAATTTTCCAAAATATTAAATAAAATCCGCAGTGGCAAACGGAAATGAATCATTTCACCGCAGTGTGATTAATTTGAGTTCAAGTCAAATAAATACTTTCTACCTTAACACGTATCTTTCAGGTTGAAATTTTAAAAATAAACCAATAAATATATTTTTAAAATGCGTAGATTAAAGTACTATAAATAGAAACGTAATACGTATTGTATATTCTCTGTTGCTCATAAGGAATTTTTTATCTGTAAACAATTATATCACTAAAACTTAGAGATGCTAACCATCATTGATTAGTGTATATAGTATATAGTATAATGCTGATTAAAACACTTAGGCCTTTTAGCCATTGTGTTACTGTACAAAACTCGACTAACTGCAACATTATTGATAAAAAAAGTTTGATCACAATAATGCATTTACAAAGAGCGTTACAAAAAAAAGAGCTTTTTTAAAGATAGTAATTAATTGTGACGCCATCTATGGAGATTTGTAAAAAAAAAATAGATCTCACACAGATATAATGCTAATATTTCGAGACTCTTGTGAAGAGAAGCATAACTTTTGTGTCTGCTGTGATAGTCATTCAGATCATTGAGTATCAATTTTTTGGATGATCTATGCGACTACAAACCACTTAACTCTTAGCGATAAATATAGATCTTTAAAATGATCAAATACAAAATATTAAATTAGATAAATATGGATGGCAGTTATTAGTTACAATTCGAATTTTACTGATACTGCAAACAAACTGAGAACTTACATCTCCATATCCTAACTATTCAATGAAAATGCGGTGACCTTTTACCCAATGAAATGGTTAGTTCCAATTTCATGAATTTCTGTTAAGAATTTTAGCTAATATTTGATAAATTCACTTATAACTTTTATAGAATCCACAAAGTTAGTATTTTCGCGATCGTTTATAAATCATATTATATATCACTCATAAACCTTACTACAGTATAGTTCTTATCAGCATAAACTTGACACAACAATTAAAATACGTGGGAAAAAACTGACTTTATGATCTTAGATTTGGCTAAAACTTTAATTTAAGATTTTCTGATAAAGTAGAAAGTCCTATATCTTCGACAAAATTTTATAAATTTTTTTCCTAGCCGATTCGCAATCAAGATATTTCAAGAATTTGTGTTTAAGAACAAATCTTTAAATATTTGTATCCCAAATAAATGACAGAAAGCTTTCCAATTAAATCTTATTTACTAAAATTCAACAATTAAAAATAAATATAATTAATCAATGCAATTACATGGCAATTTTGACAAAGATCTTACAGATCACCGCACTCAAAAATCTTGCAAAAGATTGTTTGAAAGATCTTTCATATTCTGGCAGTTTCCTTTTGCAGAATTAAAAGCTATTTTCGATCTTTCTTAACACCAAATGAAAGATCTACTATTGATCAAATTTCGATTGTCAGCTAAGATTACAAACGTCTACAAACGGTCTTCCGGTTGATCGTTGCTAGAATTGTCCTGTAAGCCTCTAGCTGGTTTATGATTTCATTTAAATATAGCACAGTTAATAAAACTTTCACGTGAATTACAAAACGCCAAGTGCGAACATACAAATCAAGTATGGCTTTGGGTCAGTTGAATAATTAACACTGACTTTGAGCTTCAAATTTGGCAGGGCACTAGCACAATCTTTGGGAAAGTACCACAACCTTTGGGAAAGCTACAAAAAACTATTTCCGAATAATTAAATACACGAAATATTTTCTAAAGATCACTGATTATGGGTATTTGGCAATACTCGACACAGTTGTATGGTCAGCCAATAATTCAATGAATTAATAAATAATAAAAGTTTTGTTGTTGTAATTCACTACTGTTTAAAATACATCTTAATGAAAACAATAATTTAAAATAAGAAATATAATTTCTTTTGTCATAATTGATTTTCAAAATCAAATTTAAAATTTTATTTCTTTTTTAAAGATAATTGATTAAATATTTCTATTTAACATATTTAGTTATAACTTAAATTGTATATATTTAAGTGTTAATATTAAATATTAATTTATTAAAGGAATGGCCTATATATCGCCTAATAACTGTATATATAAGCATTTGTAAATCAGTTTTGTGGAGAAATTTTGTTTGTGACGGCATTCAAACTACAAAATGTGATGGGAGTTGATTTAAGTGGTAAACCACAAATGGCTATTGTTAGAGTCATTGAACTACGTTGAGCATTGCAAGGAAACCGACAATGTTTACAGAACGCTGTGGTGATTCTTCGAAAAACTGTACCACAGATACTGTGGAAGTGGTTAAGCAAATAAAGACAGAAATTAAACGAAATCCGCCCCGTAGAGAAGGGCAAATGGTTGTTCAACTGTATAAAACAGCAGAAAAAACAAAGCCACAAATACTTAGATACAAAATTTTTTTAAATTCTTGAAATTTTTGAACTAATTAAGATAGAAAAAGAAGTTGAATATTAACTAAAGTATATTTAATAAACTAAAAACTGTTGTATAAGATTTACAAATATTAAATATTTTATTTCTAAGAAATTAAGATTTCATATGACCGTAATTTTGATACACTATATTTCATTAAATATTGAGAATAGACCCTTTTTGTTACTAAAAAATTTATTTTGTTTCTTACACGAATTCTATAAATATACTTTTAAGGATACAACCTATGTACTTGTAGGTATTTTTATATATAAATGGATATGAAAAACATTCCGTGGAAATTTTGTTTTGAATTTTCTACATTGGAAGGTACATATATTACTTTGAGGAACTTTAAGAATTTTCCTAATGCATTTGAAGAATTTACATTTTTAATAATTTTATGTGACTTACCAAAAAGCAGATACAGCAGATCCGATACAGCTAAGCTAAATAAGTAATAATTTGTGGCGGTGTGCAGGGTTGAATGGCGTACAATGACAACGCAAACGAGAACATTGCCCAGAACGCTTGTTATGAATATGACACCAAAGATAATCGTGACCTAAAAAATATATTTCATTATTTTAATATTTATATAAAAATGTATAATATTATTTGGAAAAATTAGATTAAGAACAGCTGAATGAAACCGTTTTTGAAATGCTAATGTAAAATAAAATCAGCATAGTCACGTGACAGCTTGACATTAAGTCAAACTCTTTTTGTTTTGACTTTCAAAATATATATATATTTCTGTTTTTTATTGTTGTTTTGATAATATTATCTTACTTTTCTTGCAAAATATTTACTTTTTCATACAAAATTGACTAGCAGCAAAAAAAAAAAATCATATCTTTTCTCATATAAAAAACAATTGTTTGACGCACTTTTCGTAGCCAAAATAGCGTCAGCTGCGGTTTAATAGCCATTTTCGCTGCCATCCAGAAAATAAAATAATAATGGCGCGAAATAATCGTTTATAATTTAAGCGATTATAAAAAGGTAAACAAAAGATACTAAACAGTGCACAACAATAAAAAATTCTAAAAAGAGGTAAAAATGTAAACAAAAAACAATATATATACATTCACATACATATATATAAAAACTGAAAATGAATACACTAAATTATCGTAAAACATTTGGAAAAAGGACTACGTGCAGGACGAACAATAGCACAGCGGAAAGTGTACAAAAATGCAAATAAAAGGACTCGCATAATTACGATTTTTCAGACAATTTCAGGCATTCATAAGAAGTTGAAATTAAAATATTTGTGGTATATAATATATAATTGTGGAAATGTGGAAATGTGGAAAATAATTATTTATAATAAGCAACGATATAAGCAGGCAAAAAAGATTTAAGCAAATACTTGAAGCATTGGCTGGATGCCTTCCTTGAATAGTTTTTCTTTCGATTTTCTTGCCGTTCTGTTCAAAAAGTGTTTGACTGCTTTTGGCATAAACTTGAACAAATATTTTAATAAGAAAGATTTACTACAGTGTATATATAAGAAAGTAATATAAGAAATAATAAGAAAGATTTTTGTAATTCAATATAAATTACAAATAAGTTTTACTCTGCATATTAAGGATTAAAGAATTTAATTTAATTTTAACAACTTAAAGATTATAGAGTTTAATTTAATTTTAATAACCAAAAATTTATATAATTTAATTTAATTTTAATCTCTACAAGATTATTGAATTTAATTTAATTTTAATAGTTAATGGATTATAGAATTTAATATAATTTCAGTAACTAAAAGATTATAGAGTTTAATTTAATTTTAATAATTAAAAGTTGATAGAATTTATTTTAATTTTAATAGCTAATGGATTATAGAATTTAATTTAATTTCAATAACTAAGAGATTGTGAAGTTTAATTTAATTTTAATAATAAAAAGAATTTGAGAATTTAAGTTAAAAGATGATAGAATTTAATTTAATTTTAATAGCTAATGGATTATAGAATTTAATTTAATTTCAATAACTAAAAGATTGTAAAGTTTAATTTAATTTTAATAATAAAAAGAATTTGAGAATTTAAGTTAAAAGATTATTGAATTTATAAGGTTAATTTTTTCTTGCCGATAATGGCGTGTCTTTTTATGACGAAAAAACTATTTAAAAGTTAGACGGATTCGAATAGCAAAGAAAAGACAAAGACAAAAATTTTTTATTTTTAATTTTTTGAAATTTGGCTGACCATACAACGCTGTTTCGAGTATTGAGTACTTGGCAATACTCGAAACAGCGTTGTATGGTCAGCCAAATTTCAATAAATTAAAAATAAAAAATTTTTATCTTTATCTTTTCTTTGCTATTCGAATCCGTCTATTATTGAATTTAATTTAATTTTAATAACTAAGAGATTATGGAATTTAATTTAATTTTAATAATTAAAAGTTGATAGAATTTAATGTTATTTTAATAGCAAAAATCTTATAGAATTTATTTAATTTAAATAATTAAATTTGAATTTAATTTTAATCACGAAAAGATTATAGAAAATATCAAAATTATAATGAAATTTAAAAATTAAAAATAAAATATATAATTAATTAATTCAATTATTTTACAGCTGATTTCGTTCTAATATAAATACAGCAAATAAATTTGTTAATAAAAACTTTTACAGCAAATTGACAAAACTCCAGAAAAATGTGCGAACATAAAAGTCAAGTACGAATTTGGGTCAGTTGATTAAGTTGTGCTAACTCTGAGCTTCAAATTAAGCAGGGCGCGAGTTTGATTCTTAGTAGTTGCAGTCTCAAAAAAAAATTATTTATGAATAATTAAATACAATAGTTATTTCCAAGACCACTGATGATGAGTATTTGGTTACACTCGAAATAGCTATATTGTCAGCTAAAGTTCAATTAATTAAAATAATATGAAAATAATTTTTGTTGTTGTAATCCACTACTATTCGAAAAACCTCTTTAAGAATTCAATTTAATTTTAATAAATAAACAAGTTGTAAAATATTGAAAATTAAATCCAATATACAGAGATTCTTTTCTTATTTTTAAGAAATAAAAGCCATTTTTTTTGTTTGTTGTTTTTGAAGGACTTTTCATATCTTTGCAAGTTGCGACTTTGGAGCAGCTTCTTCTCTAAAAAGTCTTTACTCGTATATAAAAGTGTGTTACTCGTACAGATTGTGTAAATCCAATATACAGAGATTCTTTCCTACTATTTTTAAGAAAAATTTCGGCAGTTTTTTTTGTTTGTTGTTTTTAAAGGACTTTTCATATCTTTGCAAGTTGCGACTTTGGAGCAGCTTCTTCTCTAAAAAGTCTTTACTCGTATATAAAAGTGTGTTACTCGTTTAGATTGTGTAAATCCAATATACAGAGATTCTTTCCTGAAATTTAGATTGCTCGATTTCTTTATGGAGCTTACTATGCTATGCTAGAGTTTACTTTGGATTACTTTTCTTTTTAAGCAAAGCTCATTCAGTTATTGATGTGATGGAGGAATTTTGTAGAAGTAATACTTAGCTTAAATGGTGATTGTATGATTTTTACAGAGTATGTAAATTGTTTTGAGAAACGGTTATATATTTTTTAACCACTTTTTAATAAGCATTAAAGATTATGATATAAACTCGAGTATTAACATAGATTTGTTTGGTGTATAAAAAATAGGATTTATTAACAATTCACTTTTGATGGATGTCTGAAAACTAATATCAAACAAGATTAAATATTTTACACATACGAAGCATTTCTAATTCAAACAAAAATTATCTGATTAATTTTTATCAGTTGCGGCAGATTATACTCCATAAGTGATATGACAAATCTAGTTTGCAAACTTAGAGAAGGCAGTGTCATATAATACACCATCCATCTTCGTGTTATGGGATCAATCATAGAGAACAAATAAATATTTAACAATAGAATATTTTACAAATTTTTTTTGACTTTTATTCTATTATTTTCACCTAAATAATAAATGCTGTTTTTAATAAATATTTTTTTCTTTAAAGTATTAAATATAATAAATTTAAGTTGCTTGATTGATATCAAGCAGTAACTTTTACCTTGGATGTAAGTACTTCAGTCTGGTCAGTACTAAAAAGAAGGTTTAGTATATTTTTTTATTAGTGGGTCTTGAGTATATCATAGACATTTACTCATCCTAATGTATGAGTATGGGCAATGATTTTTAAAGAATAACTTACTGCAGGGCTGTCTAAAGTACGGCCCACGAGCCTCATGCGGCCTGTGGCAAATATTTGTTCGACCCGCGACATATTTCTAACCTACCACACTTGGGTAAATTTTCTTTGTTATATTTTAGTAACATTGCATTATATTATTTTTATGGTTTCCCAAATAAATAAATTAAATTGTTTTAAATAATTTATTACACTTTGTGTTAATCTACTTAACTGACGAAGACAACTGATTCAAAAAAAAACGTATCCAGTGCTGTAAGTTTACATTAAAAATAAACTATTTTCTTATAGTAACAACTAATATTAATAATGTTGATATTGATAGAACTGTAAATGATAAATAATTAATGAAAAATTACTGAAATTAAATTTTATATTATTGGCATATTTTTATTTTTCTCCGGAAAAAATATGTATATGAACGTAGGTATGTATTTATTTCTGCAGCCCTCAAACCTATTCAGTGATTTGTATTGGCCCGCAATCATATATGGTCTGGTCTGGATTATATTTAAACTTTTGTGTATTTTCAAATAATATTTCTCTGTATACCTATCATTCTAATATATAATATTAAATTTTGTTTTGAAGTTAATAATTCATATCTATTGATATATAAAGGTTTATCAAAGTGTATCAATCAAATAAAGAAATCTGTACTAAGGACGCATGACTTCAGTATGTTATATAGAGAGTAAATAAATGTGTAAGTGACATGGCAACTGTTTCTTAAAATTTTGTTACTGAAAAGTGACAGAAAAGTAATAGTTATCCTAAAAATATAAAATAAAATATAAAAAATCAGTAAAGTATAAAATGTGTCACATGTAACACACTGAAACGATTACGCTAGTAACTTGCGTGTTTACTGCAAAGTAAGTGACATTTTTATAAGTTTTCTTCTGTCAAACAACATTTTCACAATATAAAAAGAGAGAAAGAATTATGTTTTAAATGAAAAGTGTGTACAGTAACGTTAAACATAAATATAGAGAAAAAAAAATTCCAACACATAAAACTTTCCATGAAATGCTATAAACATTTTGTCAATGTCTTCACTGTTACGAAGGAAAATCTGTAAAAATTTAAGCTGTCGTTATTCAGCATTACAATTTAATATCGTTAAACTTTCGAAAAAATTTCAAAAGTTGTACTTGAAAGTAAGTTACGAGTAGCTACTTTCCCTATAGCATTTTGGTGCTATGAATTTTTAAGTTTGCGAAATGGAAAATTTAAGTAGCACTTAAGTCAAACTTTACAAAGTGTCCAAAAGGCATTTCATAAAATAAGAAACAAAAAAAATTATTGTCTGTAAAAGTTTTACAAAATGCTCCAGTTTAGTTACTACTGTGAGTTAGAAACAAAATTT